GAGGAAGGAAGGAAGGAAGGAAGCGAAGAAGAAAGGAAAGAGGGAAGGAACAGCCTTTGGCTGTTTCTGTCTTTACCTTTTCTCTTACTTGGTTTTGTTTTTTTCTTATTTTTGTCTTGTGTTGTGGTGATAATTGTGTTTTATAATCTGCTCAAATGACCTGTACAGCGCTTTGATTTTAGCTTTGGCTGACTGAAAGCGCTTTATAAATAAAGTTGAGTTGAGTTGAGGTAGCGCCAGTAGGGGGCAACATTGTACCAATTTGTTGACTGAGAGAAACTCCTTCAATTAAAATGTTTTTGCTTCAAAATTGATTTGCAGTACTCCTTTATCTCTAGAAAAATAAAGTGTTTTCTTTTCTTCCGGGTGTTGCTTTGAGGAATTGCTTCTGGTGATCGGTTTTAGACATGCAAAGTTTGAAGGCCTCTGTGCTATCACCCTAATCTTTATCTTCATCCACAGGTTCTCTGTCAGGATTTAAGCCTTTGCTCTGAGTGGACCAGTCCAAAATATTAATATTAGAGCCACTCAAAGGAAACATATTGATGTATATCAACATGGCTTTAATGATTTTAGGCCTAATTCTGAATTTTTAGAAAATCCTTTCAGTTGAAATGATAAAATTATAAATCCAAACTATGATTTTCAGGAGCTTTCATCTGAAATTGGATTATTGTGGGCGGTTGATTATATATTATGTTGAACAAAACATTTCCTTCTACAGAGTCTATGTTCATACTCGTCACGCTTGATAGGAAGCTCACTTTCACTTCTCCTTTTTATGGTGTTTTCATTATAGAGCTGCACAACACAGATTAGCAACTTGGTGGTACTTTAGTCATGCACCAGGAGCTGTAGACTGGTGAAGATTCTCAGTCATCCAGGTCATAGTCATTTTAAAATGGTTAAACAACAATTCATTGGTCTTGGTTTCCAAGTTTGAAGATGTTTTGCTTCCCATCCAGCTTTTTTAATTTAAAATGTCTGGATTAGTGTTGGGTTCGAACTCAACTCTATTCTGACATTTTGAAACAAATTCCAGGGGATTGTTTTTTTTTTTTTTTGTTTGTTTGTTTGTTTGTTTGTTTTACTTTTTTTGAATGATGGGACTGTAAAGCTTCACCAGGAAAAGAGCCAATCAGCTTCTCTGGAGATGTTAAAACTCCAGAAGTCCTTTCTCTCTGAGAAAGTAGAGGAGGAGTAAAAGCAGGTTTTGTTGGAGATGTTTTGTTTTTTTCTGTTGATCTCAGGAAATGAGGCCTCTTCTTCTGTAACTGGTTGGTATTTACCCCTCCAGCTTTGTTCATCCTCCAGTTACATCAAGTTCAATCCAGTTCTATTTGTCTTGATATAAAACAAAGATAGACAGCAGATTATAAATAAAAAAATAAAGTCAATTAAAATTTAAGTACCAAGTGAAGAACAAGAAGAGAGCAGCTAATCTAAATATTAATCAGCATCAGCCAGGATTATATAAAACTTGGCTTATGAGTTTTCAAAAGGAAAAATGCTCTGAGAAGGTTCCAAGTTCTCAGTTCAATCCCCACTGCCTCCCACTGGGTCCCTGAGCAAGACCCTTAACCCCACACTGCTCCCCAAGGGGATGGGTTAAATGCAGAGTGAATGTCCCCACTGTGGGACAATAAAGGCATTTAAATTTCATTTTTTTATTTGTTGTCCTACCATGTAGTTCATGCGACAGGTGGCGGTATAAACACTTTTAGATTGTCTTAAAATTCTTATTTAAAACTCTTTTTTTCCCCGAACCGCAATATTGATCTTTGTGGTAATTTTCTTAACTCCAGATTTATTTTTGTAGAGAATGAATGTAACTTTTGCAGCAGACAAAGAAACAGAGGAATATATTTTATTCTTTATTCTCTTTAATTGGTGACGGATTATAAAAATTTCAACACATGATCTCAGATTATAACCTATATATATATATATATATATATAAATGGGTGTTTTTATTGTTTTGACCTTTGAAACTATGGAACCCTCTTGTATGCCTTATAAACAAATTAGTTCATGTTTTAACTCGTGTTTCTTTCGTTTTTATGTTATGTTATTGTTTATTTATATTTTATATTTTAAACCTAATCTTTATTGAACGGCGCAGAAGTCTTTAAGATGAATAAACTCAAATAAAAGCGTGTTTTGTTTTTAAATGAACGGCGCATGCGCAGGAGACAGACTTCCGGTTCACGCGACCAAACAGACAAACCAGCGATCTATGAATGATCGCTGCAGTTTAGAGGAGCTGTTTGGTTCAGAGGTGATGCTGAGCTAAAGCAGGAGGAGTCATGGAGAAGGAGGACAGCTGCTTCTGCACCGTGGAGGACAGGAGGAGCAGGAGCAGATATGTCTGCTACACCCGGAGGGACGGAGGAGGACTCCGGATCCGGTGAGTCCAGATCATCTGACCTGGTTAGAGGGGGGTGATGATGATGATGATGATGGTCTCATGCAGGGTGACAGATGCAGCAGCTGTTTGGAGCTCAGACTGCTGTGAGGACATCCTGAAGCTACTGGTGAGTCCTCCTCCTCCTGTCCTCCTCCTCTGCT